TTGACAGGGTTATGAAATTTGTCTGTACCCTTCCCAGTTTTTTCCTTGTTGTCAGTCACTGGGAGAGGAACGTTAACATCTCAACCTATGGTTTTGGGCTGTCTGTTTTAAGGAGGGTCTTGTTATATAATCCATGGTGGCCTCAAATTTGGGTGCCCTACGTTGACCTCAGATCGTCCTGCCTTGCTCTCCCAAGTGTTGGATTGCAGGCATAGATCAACATACCCAGGTAGGTTTTGGATTTGTCTATTTTCTCTTATAGTTCTACCATGTTTGCTTCATGTATCTAAGTCTCTTTTATTAACATGATATCCTATGTGAGATTATCATGTTCTCTTGATGAATTCACAGTTTATTACTATATATTTCCTATTTGTTCACTGAAGTATGTTTTATCTGATAATAATATAGCTATAAGCTTTTTTGCTTATTATTTGCATAGTATGCCTTTTTTCATTTTTTACTCTTATATTTTTTGTCTTTAAAGTACAACAGCATACACAGCATACAGGTGGGTCTCATTTTTATGGAGTTTGATAATCTCTGCATTTTCACTGGAGTGGTTAGTCATTCGTACTTAATATAATAACCAATGTGCTTAGGGTTAAGTCTACCACCTTGCTATTTATATTCTGTTTGTCACATCTGGGCTTTTTCTTTTTATTTTGTTGCTCCTCTGTCATTGCTTTCCTACTTTATTTTTGGTAAGTCATTTTTGTAAGCATTTAATTTTGTGGCCATCCATATTGAGATGTTAGTGATCTCAGGCTCAGCTAAGTACACTGCTGTCCTACTTCATCTCACCTGAGCCACCCAGCTACCTCCACACGGCTAGGGGCCCTGGCCCCTAGCTGACCACTGCTCAGGATCAACAGCTAGAAATGCAGACCTGAGAGAGATCCTCTTCTCCAGCACCAGATGAAGTAAGTTCACCTCCTCCCTCAGGGCACGGGCTGAGCCGGGCAGGGGCTGCAGACCTCTCAGGAGAGCCCGTCTCAGCCTCCCGCTGCCAACCAAGCCTCCTGTCAGAGCAAGGCCAGCTCTGGAGGCTCCTTAGGAAAAACTGCCCCTGACTTCTTGGAAAGGAGGAGCATTTCCTTATACCTTATGGCCTTCTACTTTGCTCTCAGGACTGGAGCCAGGGTGCCCTGATGTGTAGCAGGGGAACAATACGCCCAGTATTGCAGGTCTTCTTAGTATTATGCGTAACTCTGCCTTTGAAATGCCTGATGAGCATTGCCCAGAGCAAGCTAGCAATAGATGGGGCCGTGTGAGTGTCCTGTGGGGGTTTAAGACAAGAAAAGTTTATTTCCTCACAGTTCTGAAGACCAGGAGTCTGAAATCAAGGTGTAGGCAGGCTGTGCTCCCTCTGAGGGCTCTAGGCATCCTTTCTCCCTCTTCCAGCTCTGGGTGGCTCCAGGTTGTCACATGGCTGAGGCTGTGTGGCCCTTCTCGCCCGGCTCCATCTTCAGGCAGCCTGCTCTTTGTGTGGCCATCTCAGTGTCTCTCCTCTCAGGATACTTGCCATGGATTTCATCTCAATCCTTAATTACATCTACAAAGACCCTTTTTGCAAAATAAGGTCATCATCACAGGTTCTGGGGGTTAGGACATGGGTGTATCCCTAGAAGACCACTGCAGTAGCTTTCACATTTACTCTTAATAAGCCCAGGAAGCAGCCCAGGATGGAATATTCTTTGAGCATTTCCTGAGCACCCAACAGTTCAGCTTGCCCCCCATCAGGCTTCATACCAGCCCTGCACAAAGGAACCACCTATGTTTCACGGGGGACACAGGTCATGTGGCCAGGTCCCCGGCTAGGCTCAGCTCAAGCCCTGGTCCACTTGCCCTGCCCAGCCCCCCAGGCAGCCTGTTTTCTGAGGCATGAAAGCTGGGTCCCTGTCCTGTGCATGCCCCAGTCACCTTATCCTCAGTGGCAGCACTGTCCCTGCACCTTTGTCTCACCCTCAGTGATACTGTGGCATTCCTGCAAGAAATGCAAATAGAGGCCTCGCTGCCCTCCTCAGCCACTTGGACTTTCCCTGAGGAGTTCTCCAGAGGTAGACAAAAGTCATACACTTTCAATTCAGACATTATAGTCACATTCCAAGGGCCATCACTGCACAGCACCAAGGGACAACAAACACTTCCTGAGAACGAGTCGTAGAACTGTCACCACCACTCTGCCTCAGTAAAGGGAGGGTGCTTGTAGCCCCACCAACCCCCTCACCAAGGCTTTCCTCTCCTGTGTCAGCTGAAATTACCATAAAATACAATGGCTTGTGGTTCAAGGGCAATGCTTTTGTGCCAATCTAAGTTGGCAAAGCCAAGGCAGGAAAGGCAGCACAGTCTGTTTAATGAACCCCACTCATTCTGGCCGTTCCCCTGATACACGCTCATTCATAATGTATGCGTATTATATGCTCTCCAAGGCACGGGGAAACTGACACACCAAAGTGCCCCTTTTTTCCAGGTGAAGCCCACTAGCAAGATGCCATTTACATCAGTACAGAACCATGCCCTCACTCCACCCATCCATCCCACTTCACTGCTTTTTCCTCTTTTATATAAATGACCACTTCCTAAAAGCCTCTGGGGTTTTTCTGTACTGGTGGTTTCAAATATAATTACTGTCACATAGATCCTGGAAATTATCACTATGAGTAAAACAGATGAAAAGTCTGCATTGACATAACTTGATTGGTGCTTAGAATGAATCAAGAGCAAGTTCAGAAAGTCCTGGATTGTTTTCAAGACCTCTTCCACCAGTCAATGATGAAATAAAGTGGATATATGCATTTATCAAATAAATGAATTTATTATTCACAAGGTGAAAATACCTGGTTACCTCTGGACTGGCATTAAATAATTTATATACATCTTTTTGATAGACTTTCATTGTAAGGTTCCATGTGTTTACAAAAGCAAAATTCAACCTCTGCCCTTCACTGCTGGCCAAGTCCTCTTTCTGGAATTTGGGGACCTTTCCACAAGCACTGAGCTTTTGCTGCACCACGTTCCAGGATACCCAGAAGAGCCAGTGACTATGCGAAGTCCACACCTTGAGGGAAGTATCAGTCAATGACATGGTTCTTCTAAAGCCTAGGGTCATCGCTTCTCGGCCTTTTGGCTAAGATCAAGTGAAGCCTAGGGTCCACGAGGAGACGTCTGTGGGCTAGAGTGTGGCCCTGCAAACACCCTCAAGAAACACCCTCAGTGGCCTTTCGGTGGGCAGGCTGTGGCCCGGTGTTCCGCTGTGTCCTGAAAACCGAGAAGCTCCAGAGAGGGCTGGTGGCTGAGCTCATGCTAGGTCCACAGGGACAGGCCACGTGCCCTGGTAATGTTCAGAGAGATGAGTGTTCCCTCCAACTTTGGCAATAACACCAGAAGCATCCTCACAGAATACTTCAGGAATGAAATCTTAATCACAGCATAGTAATGGGCAAAGGGTCCTTTTTGCAAATATTTAGTTATTTACAGTTTTTTTTTAGTTACATAATAAAGCATCACCTACATATACATACACATTTACAGAGATGCAGGTCAATGGGTTGTGCCCTGGGAGAGCAGCTACTCCGGAGATAAGATAGTGCCTGCTCTTCTAGACCTTTCTGTCTGTAACTTTGGTAGAAACAAAGTCTCTCTAGGTTTCTTAATTATAAAATCTTTGAATTCATAAAAAAGAAAAAGAGAAGCCAGGCATGCTGGCACATACCTGTGATCCCAGCACTCTGAGACAGGAGACCGAGTTTGAGCTCAGCCTGAGCAATTTAGTGAGTTGGCGAGATCCTGTCTCAAAATAGAAAAAGGGGCTGGGGATATAGCTCATTTTAAAGCCCTGAGTTTGAATACCAGTGCTGCCCAATGGGGGCAGGGAGGGAGGGGGAGGGAGGAAAGGAGGGAGGGAGAAGAGGAAAGATACAGAGAGCCCAAGCCCTGACTGGACACATCTGATCACAGTGTTGTCCCCGCCCCTCAGGCAGGCCACCTGTTCCGATGGGGCAGGCTGGGCAGTGCAAACCTGCTCGACCACAAAGTGGTTACTGTTAAATGCCCAGAAGACTGGCCAGAAATTAGAAGTCACTAGAAGACTGTAGGGTGCCTTGGCTCACCATCATGCCCAGCCACTGTCACCCTGGTGACACCTAAGTATGAATGACTGAAGCACAAGAGACGCAAAACCAGACAGACGCCAGGGCCTCCAGGTCACGTGTGACTCAGCTAAACGGGTCAACCCAGGGCTGAACCCTGGTGGTAGCGTTTGGAACTTTGCAGACAGCACACATGGTAGCTGCCCAGCAGAGGTAGCTATTATCCAACTGAGCCATAGCCAACAACCTGAGGAGCACCTGGCTTGAGCTGCTTGCGGGCTGGAAGGTCTTGTCAAGGGCCCACAGGAGACACATTCCACACAGGCCCAGACATCTCCCCAAATGACCAAGTGGCTCGGCCCTTGCTTGCCCAGCCTTCAGGGCTTCTGCTGCGGGGACAGCTCCAGAGAGGCCTGCGGAGCAAGCAGAGCAGGCTACCTCCTGCACATCTGCGCACCATCACTCCACTTTCCAGATAGCAATCTTGCCCTCTTCCCTGCCTGACCCACTCAGCACGTATCGGTCCTCGGCAGAGCATAGGGTCCTCACGGTGTCTGCATGCGCCACCAGCTCCTTCTCCACCGTCTTCCTCTCCACATCAATCACATAGATCTTCCCTTTGAGTCTTCCCTGGGATGGCCCCTTGCCGCCCACCCAGATCTGCCAGAGAGAAACAGGAGGGGCATCAGCTGGGAAGGAGGCCCCCCAAAAATATATGGTGCTGTACCCAGTGCTTCGGCTGACTAATGCACCCCCAAATCCATGTCCTTCCTGGTGCCCCAGAGGCTGGGCCACCTGGTGGGCCCACAGGATGGAGCCTTGAGCTACAGTGGACTGTCTCAAGCCATAAAGCTTAGGGGATGATGTGACCATAGTTAATAATTCCATCTGGTGTACCTCAAATTTGCTAAGAGGTAAATTTTAGAAGTTTTCTCCACAAAACAAACCCCACAGTTGTAACTGTGTGGTGATGCATATGTTAATGAGCTTGGTTGTGGCGATTAGACACACTGTATATCAACACTGTATACATTAAGTGAGTATCATTTGTACTTGTTAATTATATGCCAGTAAAGCTAGTGGAGGAGGGCTTGAATATAAATTCCCTGCTGAGTTTCAGGTTTGCTTGGGACCCAGGACTCTTTTTCTTCTAATTTCTCCCCTTTGGGACTGGACTGTGTACCCTCTGCCTCCCTGACACTTGTGTTCTGGGAAGAGAGAGTGGGCTCTAGTTTCATAGCCCCACAGCTGGAGCGTTCTGCCCAGGCTGGACCATACCCTGAGCCTCACTCCTATGGGTTGGATAAGTGTACCCTAAAGCTCCAGGTGTTAAAGGTTTGGACTCCAGCTTGGTACAGCTGGGAGGTGGCGGGACCTGTAAGATGTCACTACCTTGGTTTCAGATTTCCAGCCTTTGGAACAGGGGGAAAATAGTTTGGTTTGATTGTTTAAGCTACCCAGACTGTGGTTATTTACTAAGGCAGCCCTGGGGAGATCTGGTTTCTAAGCACTGCAATCACACTATGCAACTCAAGGTATATGACAGTCTAGGGACATGGAGACAGAACCTGGGAGAGGAAGCAGGAAGGCAGAAGCAGCAGGAGGGGCCAGGCTGGGCAGGAGCCCACATGTCACCTTACCTGCCTCTTCACACGGATCATGCAGCTGACCTCAGAGCAGTCCTGCAGGTGAATCCGCTGCGGGGCCTGGGCCAGGTCCTCCAAGCTCCAGATGCACACCTCACCACGCCCCGCACAGGCGGTCCACAGCTGCCCCTGCTAAAACAAAGATCATGCTGGCACTGTGCTATGCCGAGGCAGCCCACCTCGTGCCTGCGCCCTCTGTGGAGTACCTCAGGAAGGAGCTGCAGGCCCAGGAAGGAGGACTGTGCCTCCTTAAGGTCCTCGTCTGTCCTCAGCTCTTTGCACAGGGAGCCGTGCGTCGTCATGACCACAATGTTGCTGCCTGTGCCTGTGTCAGGAAAGGACTGGAATGAGGACCAGGCAGAGTGAGCACAGAAGCAGAGGGACTGCCGTGTGGGACACGTCCCATGTGATGCTTGGGAGTTGGCAAGGCGCTTACATTCTGTCAGTTTACACAGCAACACGTGACTACAAGGACCTTTCCTTCCTTTCCTTTTTTTTTTTTTGTGGCACAGAGGATCAAACCCAGGGGGAGAGTGCTCTGCCACTGAGCTGTAACATCCTTACACCTTTTTATTTTTTATGACAGGATCTTGCTAAGTTGCTCATTCAGGATTTCAGCTTGTGCTCCTCCTGACTCAGCCTCTGAAAGTGCTGGGATTACAGGTGTATACTACTCCGCCCAGTGTGTAACAGAGAGAGGAAACAGCTGGAGTCCTCCACTCTCTTCTGGGGCTTTGTGCAGTGTGGTGGAAAGTAGGGCTGCTTTAGAAGTTGCCCAGGAACCACTGCTTTGAGTTTTCTGTCACCTAAGAAGTGGTTCTAACCCACTAAGAGGCCACCACAATTCAAGGCACATGCCTGTGCTTGGTTCTGGCATTTCTGTGTCGCAACTTTACTCACTTAGGTAAAATGTCTTCAGTCTCTGCGAGATAAAAGCCACCAAAACCAGCCCAAAGACGAGGTAAAGCCATATCTACAGTGAAGGCAGAGATGCCTGAAGAAAAGGCTCAGTGTTGTCCAGCTTTCTTTCTTGTACTGTCACTGTATGCAGCTCTCCATCCCCTCCCCACCAGTGCGACAGCCACTACACAGAGATGGGGAGGACCCATCTCACCAGCAAGAGGCCAGTCTGCCAGTGCTGGGAGGTAAGAGGTGCCGCCCGGAGATGCTGTGTTGACTTCATGCTGCTACAACACTGGATTGCAGCCCCCTCCCCCAGCCCTCAGTCTCACCGAGGCAATGGCCCCTTGGTCCCTGGCCAGCCGGATGGCTCAGAAGCCAACCTGGCTTTATATCTCCACTGAGACCTCTGAGCCAGAGACCTAATACACAAACAGCGCATCCTCCAGGAAGCCTTTTTTGCAGCCATGCGGTTACCCACTCAGGCTGATGAATAAGGCCCTTACAGGCGGCTGCCCAGTGGGAATGCTTGACCAGCAGAAGTCACGAGCCATAAGCCGTACGAAGCCCATGTGGAGGGGGCCTCTGTCTGGGGGCCACAGAAACTCCTCCCCAATACAGTCACCAGCTCCCAGGTCACCCTGATGCTGCATCTAAACACTTGTCATGTGCTAAGGCTACAGGGGCCCCCACTGCAGGAGGAGAGGGCAGCGCTCAGCACCTACTCTGCTGTGTGAACAGCCAAAGGTGCAGATGTGGACAGATGTGTGGCCATTACCAAAAAGGCAGACAGGAAAGGTTGGTAAGGATGTGGAGAAATTGGAGCCTTCATGCCCTGCTTGTGGGAATGTAGGATGGTGCTGGTGCTCTAAGAAAAACCAATAGCTCCTCACACAGTTAAACACAACCCCACGTCTACCCTAGGAGAATAGCACTGAGCTAGTATAGTAACACACAGAATCCTGTATGACTCAGAGATGAAAATGAATGAGCTACTGACACTCGAAGTAACATAGATGAACCCTAAAAGTATCATATTGAATGAATAAAGCCAGATGAAACAATATATATTGTAGGGTCCACTTATAGAAAGTTCTGGAAAACAAATTCATAGTGACAGTGAAGAACAACTGCACCCCTTTGGGCAGGGCATGGCCTGGAAGGGGGCAGTGGTGGAAATGTGCTCTATCTTGGTTTCTCTACAGTTATGCTGGGTATACAGTCAGCCCTCTGTATCTGTATGTTTCACATCTGTGGATTCAATCAACTGTGATTTGAAACTATTTGAAAAAGTCATGCGCTGAGAGTACAACTCAGCCACGGAGCACGCACTTACCTAGCAGGCACAGGCTCTGGGTTCGATCTTGCAAGTCTATACTGAACATGTACGGGCTTTTTCACTTGCCGTTATTCCATAAACCATACAGCATAACTATTTATGGAATGCTTACATTGTATTAGGTATTATAAGACATCTTAAGATGACTAAAGTGTATGGTATAAGAAGATATGCACAGGTTCTAGACAACCACATGCCATTTTACACAAAGGACTCGAGCAGCCATGGATTTTCTTATCATGGGGGTGCTGGAACCAGTCCCCCACGGGCACTGAGGGACAATTCTGCTTTTGTCAGAACAAACAACCTGCATACTTGGGCGTTTTACCGTATGTAAACTATGTTTCACCTAAAGAATTCATGGAACTCATGAGTGTTACTCATGCTGTCTGGCATATGCTGGGTGGGGACGTCCTTAACACGCAGGCAGTGTTTGCGCCCTAGGGTGTTCAGAAACACGGAACATGAGCTGCCAGGCCAAGGCCTGCGCAGCCTATCACCCCTGGAAAATGCTGGCTTGGCTCCAAGGACACGAAGGGCCCCAGGGATGTGCCAGGATCAGCACAGGTAACCACACCAAGGCCTTGCTGACCTGGTCCCTGGGGGAGGGAGTGACACACACGGGGCTGTAAGAGGATGCCGGGGCAGCACCATGACCTCAGCATCTGGGCCGGGGTCAGCTCCAGAGCACGGCCTGTGAGAGCAGGGGAAGAGCAGGTGTGCAGAGGCCTACGGGTGGGGCGGGAGCACAGAGAAGTAACCAGGAAACGGGCCCTTCCTTCCCAGGTAGGGAGTCAGGTTGTCTGGACTTACAGCACCACAGGTTGCTGCTGTGCAGGCTGATGGACGTGAGGCCGCCGTAGGGCACCTGGAAGCAGCAGGTCACCTGCAGGGTGCTGACGTCCCATGCCAGGACTGTCCCATCCAGGCTGCAGGAGTAGACCTCACTGGGGGAACCAAAAACACACATAGGTTGATGGAGGCCTTTGCAGCACTGTTCCAGCCTCAGGAGGAACAAAGCCACCACTGGATTCTCCACCACAGGGATGCTAAGTAATGTGCCACTCCTGCGAACACGCCAGCAGATAATGCGCCGGCTGGTCACAGGCTTGGTGACTGCAGCCACAGCTGACCGTTACCTGTGATCTGGTCTTAGCAAAGGGCCACCCAGCTCCAAGAGAAGCCCAGGAGGCAAGCACACCTCAGCACTGGGTTTAATAACCCACAGTTGCAGGAGGACAGATTGTGGCCAGTACCGTCCATGACTCCCATACCCTAGAGCCTAGTCCACTAACAGGTTTGTGCCCACGTCCCACCTGAGCTGGGCCTGCCAACAACACAGGCTCTCTGGAGCTAAGTAAGGGTAAGAGCGGGCCAGGAGGACAGCCAGCCTGGAGGGAGGTATGGGAGCTGGACCCACCTGCCAAGCAGCCCTTCCCCAGGGCCAACACAGAGACCCTACCTCATCAGCACATGTGTGTTGGGTGCTATCCTCACCACAGGACACAGATGGGCAGAATAGGAGCAGTATTCTTTTTTTTTGTTTGTTTGTTTTGTTTTGTTTTTTGTTTTTCTCCGGTACTGGGAACCGAACTCACGACCTTGCACTTGCCAGGCAGGCGCTTTGCCGCTGAGCTAAATCCCCAGCCCAGGAGCAGCATTCTTGACATAATGACACAAACTGGAATCATGGTTGGACTGTGGCCCTGAGAAAATATGTTGGTGTCCCAAACCTCAGTATCTCAGAATCTGACCTGAACAAGTTAAAATGAGGTCACAGTGATGGGACATGACTAGTGTGTTCTTACACAAGGGAGCTGAGGACCCTGCAGCAGACATGCATGGGACACTACGGGTGGCCATCAGCCACCAGGCACTGGACCAGGAAGGAAGGACTCTCCACAAAGGGCTCAGAAGGCACGTGGCCCTGCCAACACTTTGACTTCGGACTTTTGGCCTCCAGAACTAGGTGAATCTTTGCTCTAAGTTAACTCATTTGTGGTGTTCTCTTACGGAACAAAGGAATGTGGTGAGCAGTCACCTGAAGCAGGATGCTTGGGAAGACATGACAGGAATCCATGGTTATATGGTTTGTGTCTAGCTGTCCCCCCAAAGTTTCATACAGTCATAGTTAGGGCTTTTTTTCAGTGGTGGCTGGATCTAGAGTGTGATGCTGGGATCGATTCACGGTGCAATGCTAAACTCAAGGGCACTACAATTAAGAGAGAGAGAGAGCTACCCGCCCTAAGTAGGCTGTATGAAGTACAAAGGGGCAGAAAGAGCCGGGGTTGTCCTTTGCTTATTTTCCTACCACCCGCGCACCATGAACTGTTTCTCCTGTGATACCTGTCTGCCACACCACCCTGCCTTGGAGCCAGGCGATTATGGACTGAAACCTCTACAAACCGTGAGCTAAATAAACTTTGCCTCCTTTATTTTGTCACAGCAACAAGAAAAGTAACTAAGACACAAGGGGAGCCTAGATGGGGCCAGAGAAATGACCTTTACAGTTCTTCCTGGGGATGCTGACTCCCTAGAACAGGGGAGTGGGCACGGGAGGCCCAAAGGCTGGTGGTCACAACCCGCCGCCCACCTGTGTGGCCCTGGGAGCACCTCATGCCCTCTCTGGAAGCCTCCCGTGGACCAGGATAGTCTCAGGGCTTTGTGGTTCAAATAGTTTTCTCCAGAATGACTTGATCCCAGGTGGGATGAGGCTAGCTAAGCATGCGCATTTGATGGGACTCGCCTGTGCCTGCAGGGGTGCCATGGTTCAGATCTAAAAGGTTCCCCAAAGTCTCGCGTGTTCAGAGGTGGGGTTTTGGGAAAGTGACTGGATCGTGGGGACACTGTATCCATCAGGAGGTTGAGCCACTGATGAGTTCAAGGCTAACGGTGCTGCTAGCAGTTTGCGCCCTGGCTGGAGGCAGGTCACTGAGGGCGCGATCTGGAAGGGTGTGTTCTCGTCCCAGCTCCTCCCATCTCTCTGCTTCCTGGCTGCCGCAAGTTGATTTTCTCTCTACACGCCCTTCCACCACGCTGTTCTGCCTGGGACTAAATCCTCCGAGAACTGTGAGCCAAAATAAACTTCTCCTCCTTTAGGCTGTGGGTGTTGGATATTTTTCCCTAGTAACTAGGAAAATGATTAATACAGGTAGAGTCTAGAGCTGCTTGTCCTTCATCCCCTGAGGAAGGGAAGACAGGGTCAGAAGGGAAAGTCCACTGGGTGGGTTTAAAAATGAAGATCACTGGGGCTGGGGAGTTAGCTCAGCAGCACAGCGCCTGCCCCACAAGTGCAAGGTCGTGAGTTCAATTCCCGGTACCAAGAAAAAAAAAAAAAAGCCAATAAAAAAATGAAGATCACTGGCACCCCAGACATCTTCCCCACCCAGAAAACAACTGAAGACAGGTCAAGGGACACAGCTCCCCCACGTCAGCCCTGCAGCTTGCACGAGGAAGTACCTCATTGGTCCCAGTCAGTCTGCACACTGCTGGCCAGCAAGTAACTTTTGGGGGATTGAGGGGATCTTACAGTGACATTTTTAAAATGAAGCCAAGGCTGAAAACTTGGGTGATCTCACACAGAAATGCCAATTCCCAATGTCAGTGGAACAATGAGGAAACTGACAACAATGGATGTTAGTCTTACAGGGGGCTCACCCTTCCACCACAGGCCTGTACTGTCCCTGACTTCAGCAGAAAGGCCAGGTGCCAAGCCAGATCACTCTCAGAGGAGAAACACCCTTCTTGTACCCACAACAGATGCAGACCTAGCCTGTCACCTCCCGGCTATTCCACTCACTCGCCCTCCTGGTTCCTGGGGCATGTACCTCGGGAAACTGCCCTGAGGGCCAACGAGTGAGTCTCCATCCCTGCTTGCCCTCTGTACCTGGGCTTCTTCCCATCTTGCACGATCAGCCCTGTGACACCAGTGCGGTGGTCCGTGAGCTGCTTGTTGCAGGACATGCTGTGGACATTGATGATGTAGATGATGGAGTCGTCCGAGCCGACCCACACCTGGCTCTGCTCCGCCATCACCATGCAGTTCTAAGGGGAGGCCAGGAAAAAAAGCACAGTGCTCAGTCTTCATGCAGTAACGTTCCACAAATGTGCCTGATTACCCCAATACTGAACCCTTGCTCCTGGGGACAAACAGCCCTGGGCCCACAGCATCTGATCATGGCATTTTCTTTGATGGGTTATTATGTGACCTTGCTTTAGGTTTGTGTGTTTCCTTCTAAGACAGTTTATTGGGTGCACATTGTTGCTTTGTTAATGTTGAACTCATGGCCAAGGGGACCATCACCACACCCGAGTAAAGCTCACCTGACCCCTCGGTCTCTCCACAGGCTGTGTCACAGCCTCTGTGCAAATAGAAACACTACCACACCATGCTTGGGGCCACTCTGAATAGCAGTCACCGACAAAAGCACAAAAATGTGGAAATCATGGAAAGCTGCTCATATACAGTCTGAGTACAGGGAGAAATCAGTGACATCCGTCAGCCTCAGCTGGATGTACACATCAGCAACTCAACTGTTCCCACTGTGCACAGCCAAGAGGCCACCATGAGTACCTATTTGGAGTCGCAAATAAATTTTAGCAGGTGGCTGTGAAGAAAGTGGAAAGGAAGGTCTACCACACAGGAACAACCCACAATAGGGCTCTCTATTTCTAGAGTATCCTAGGGGTCTGCCACTGGTCAAGGCCAAGAGACAGGAATATTTCTGTTTACTGCTAAGCTTTTTGATATTGCAAATTAAGGTTTAAGACACCAAAGAATTAGAATGTCACACATCACATGGATTAGGGCTGTGTTTGCCTGCACCTGGCAATCAGTCTAGTGGCCGGACCTGCCCCAGCCGGTGCCAACGGAGACGGTCAGGCAGCTGCTGCCTATGCTGTGATTACCTCTTCTGTCTCTGCCCGTGACATGGCCCCCATGGTACTGTTGAATAAATGTCTTCAAGTACACTTAGATTTTCAAAGAGTAAAAGTGACATCATGTTGGCCGATTGCTGAGGACTAGATATAATACTAGATATAATCAGTGTCAATGGTGGTTATAGTCTTGAAGTCAGAAGAAAGCTCTTTTGAAAATTAATAATTTAAATTCTAGTTATAAAAATTCCTGGGGCTGGGGATTTAGCTCAGCAGCAAAGCGCCTGCCTGGCAAGCGCAAGGTCGCGAGTTCGGTTCCCGGTACTGGAGGAAAAAAAAAAAAAAAGAAAGAAAAAAAAAAATTCCTGTAATTTAGAAAAGGAAGCCAACTTGTTAATGCAAGAACTACTCATTTAAAAGAGCCCTTCATTTTTACATCCACCTCAGGATTGGTGTAATTTTAGTGAAATGTCTTGCTTACATGGCCTCAAAAGAAGACGTCTTAGATAAACCAGTTTGAACCTCCCACTTCAGGTGAGGCAGCATTTTCTTGAGCTATTCTCCAGGTTTTTTCTTATGGGAAAGTAAGAAATATCTGTGAAACTAGCAGGAAGATGTTTTCACATAATTGAATAACACGTTGCTTTCAGTGTTCTAACAGGAGGGCAGTAAAGACTGTTACAAAATGAAGCCTTTTTTAAATTCTTTACATGTTCTAGATAGAAGTCCTTTGTCTGAGGGACAGTTAGCTAAAAATTTTTCCCCAATTTGTGGGTTTTCTTTTTATTCTGTTGGTGATTTCTTTTGATGTGCAAAAACTTTTCAATAAGATGAGATCCCAGTTTTTGATTCTTTGAAGTGTTTCCCGTGCAGTTTGGTTTTTGTTCATGAAATGTCTGCCTACCCCTATGTCTTCAAGATTTCCACCTACTTTCTCTTCTAGTAGATTTAGTGTTTCTGTTTTAATATTTAGATCTTTGATCCATTTTGACTTTAGTTTAGCGCATGGTGGTAGACATGAGTCTAGTTTTAGTCTTCAGCATGTGAAAGTCAGTTTTTCCAGCACTATTTATGAAAGAGATTATCTTTCTTCCAGTGAACATGCTTTTCCCCTTTGTCAAAGATAAGGTGGCTGAATGTGTTTGTAGTTAAAAAAAAAAATCACACCCCTAAAATTCAAAGATCCAATCAAAAATGGGCATCTGAAATGAATACACACTTCTCAGATGAAGAAATGCAGATGGCAAATAAATATATGAAAAAATGTTCAACATCATTGGTCATTTGAGAAATGCAAATTAAAACAACACTGAGATTCCATTTCACTCCAGAAATAATGGCTATTATCAAGAAATTAACCAGCGGCTGTAGGGGAAAAAAGAACCCTTCACCACTGTTGGAGACTGGTACAACCACTGTGGAAACCAGTGTGGAGATTCCTCAAAAAACTAGGATTAGAGGTATCATTCAACCCAGGTTTCCCTTTCTGAGTATTTTTCCAGAAGAACTGAAAACATAATACCACAGCCATATACATGCACTCATGTTTATAGCAGCGCAATCTGTCATAGCTAAATCTTGGAAACAACTACAATGCCCATGAACTGAGGAATGTATAAAAAAGATGTGGTATGTTTATGCAATGGAGTATTACTCAGCTATAAAGAAAGATAAACTCAGGCTTTTATAGGTAAATGGATGCAACTACAGACCATACTAAGTGAAATACATCAGACCCACATGTGTAAACACTGTATTGTTTTCCTAGTGTATAAAACTGAAAGAGTAAATAAAATCTGAAAGTTACAATAGATATTGTGAAAGGGAAAGAGACTGCTCAAAGAAAAGAACACCTAGGATGGGGGAAAGGAGAAAAGAAAGAAAGGAAGGGGGAAAAATATATATATACACACAAGTAATTTAGAAAAGGAAGCCAACTTGTTAATGCAAGAACTACTCATTTAAAAGAGCCCTTTATTTTTACATCCACCTCAGGATTGGTGTAATTTTAGTAAAATGTCTTGCTTACACAGCCTCAAAAGAAGATGTTATCTTAGCTAAGATAATTATACTACTAATTTCTATTGGTTTATTGAAAGAAACAGTTAATGCTTAATTTTTTGATCAATTTTGCATGCTTATATTTAGTAATCTGAACAACTACTCTGAAGATAACAATATGCAATATAACAACCATTGTTAATTTCCTACCATCTTGTTTTGAAATTCTGCACTGTTGGAGAGAAGGGTATGAGGGTTCCTCTATGTCCCCAGAATTCCTGAACAGGGTGAAGCCACCAGGCAGGATGTGCAGACATGGATGCAGTTTGAATGTAGGGTTGAAAGAATATGTGCACACCAGCAAGAAAGATAAACTCAGGCTTAGGGACACATGCATAGAGGACATGCCACCGCAGGGCGCCTGGCAGCTGGCAAAGCATGGACAACAAAGCTCAATCTCGTGAGTGTCCAGGGAATGCAAGCCAACTGACAGGATGTACTTGTCACACTGACCAGAGGGCCATGGGTACTATCCTCCAGGAGTAGGGATCTCCCATGAAGAGACTGCAGGGCAGGGGTCCTGGGCTATGTATACAGGCTTTTATAGATAAATGGATGCAACTAGAGACCATACTATGTATACATCATGTATATATACATCACAGGCTATGTATACATCATGTGTATGATTCATGAGACAGGCTGCACCATGGCCATGTCACGGATACATGACTCGATGTGCTGCCAGTACTTGCTGTGAAATTCTCTAAGCTTGCTGTGACGCAAAGGACTAAGGTACAGCACGTGCTTTGCCAGCCCTGGTGTCTGCGGCCTGGTCCACAGGGCAACTGGATACCCACACAGGCCTCCAGAGGAGCAGCTCACTCCTCTTTGAGTCCAAAAGAGACCCACCTGTCGCCCCTCACCAACAAGCACCAGGATTCACCAGAAGCATGGTCTGCAGTCACCTCAAGGCATCACCCCACCATGTGTGCACCATGCTGACGCACAGGAAGCATCCAGGGTTTTCAAAGGTGGGTGGGAGATTAAGCCTCAACTTTTAATAAGCACTTGTAGGCAAAAGGGCAAGACGAGCTTACACTTAACTTAAAATCACAGTAAAAATCACAGGCCTCCCATTTACAGACCATGTGTTCTGTGTGGACTGCAGGCTACCACACTTATGTGTTGGACCTTGTATGCACTTGGATGCATACACAGCAGTCTGAACTGAGCAGCTTCATGTACTCACCACCTTGGAGGTGCCCACTTTAAAGCAGTGCTGATGGATGGTCCAAGAGGAGGCGTCAAACACAATTACTCTGCCTTCGCTCAGGGCGCACCATAACTTGGGGTGAGCATCTTCCACTTTCTCTGCAGGGTCGAGGTATCCTAAAGAGGAGAGTGGCCATAGTGTTGGAAGAGAACCTCTGAGTGTATTGGCAGGGGTGATGTGACATTACTGCATTTACTGGGCATCTACTTAGTGCCAGCTGTTGTACTGGTGCTAGGGATACTGAAGGGAGTGAAACCATGTCCTGCCCTGCCCATGTGGAGCTTGGTGCCTTGTAAAGGGGCTGTCTGTCACAGAACCACATGGACAGACAGAACTAGATTAGGGGTGGGGTATACAGACTGCATTGTTGAGCTAGCTCTGCCATGAGGGTTTATTACTGAGTAGTATTGTAGGAGGAGGAACAGGAGGAGGAGCCAGTGGGCTCCCAGCACACAGGGAGGGGTCAGTGGAGACACTGAGGACAAAGCACTGGCCTTCCACCAACTCCCATGACACAAAAGTGCATACCCAGGCCCCTCACTCCATAGCTTCACCAACATTTGGTGGCTTCAAGTGTGGCCATTCTAAGGATATGAAGTTTCTGGGGGTTTTCTTTGCTTTTTGTTTGTAGGTTTGTTTGAGGCAGGATCTTGCTGTGTTGCCCAGACTGACCTCGAACTTCTGGATATAACCAATTTCTCCTGCCTAAGCCTTTTGAGTGCCAGGAACTACAGGGCATGTGACTACTGGGAACTACAGGGCCACCATGCCCTATGTCAGCTTGTTTTTGGTTTTATAACTATAATTTTACCGGCACTTCCTTTCTTGCTCCTGAGGCTAAGTTTTTGCTGGCCACTGAGATAGCATTTTCTGTAACGTGTTCATCTACTGGCAACTTTTGAGGGCCTCATGTCCCTCTCTGGATAGCAGCCCCTAACCATGCTGTTGTGCCAAAACATCCTTTCCCATCTGTGACTTGCACTTTCACTCTTGGAAATACTGCTTAACAGTCCTTAATTTCAGTGTAGTCAACTCCATCTTTTCCTTCACAGCCAGCACTTCCATACACTGCCCAGGAGTTCGTGCTTGCCCTGCGGTCACAAGAACGCTTTGTGCATATGCAGAGCCACCTCTGTCCTTGACTAGGGACCACGGGCCTGCTGTCTTTCTAGGGGCATCTATTCCACTGCTCCTTGGTCCCCACGGTGGGGGATCCACTAAATAAATATTCTTCCCACCCATCTGAGCCTGAGCCCATTGGAGGCCTACAGACTTGGTTTTTTCAACTCCTTATGTGGCCCCTGGAGTCTTAACCTGAGCTAATGGGCTTGCAGGAACTGCCCGTCTTGGTGGTCCCATGCCTAGCTTCTGCAGGCTGGCAAAACTCTGCTCCCTGTAAGCTCTTCCATCCCCAGAAGTGGCAGCCAGGCCACAGGGGACAGCAGCTTGCTACTCTTCCCCTCCTGCTGGCCTTTATGCAGACACAGAGAGGTACAGAGAACAAGGGTCTGGATACTTTCCCCTCACGGCAGGAAGCCCAGGCTCTGGTAGGCCCTGCAAGAAACTGGCTTGGATCTGCTGTGGTACAACATCTAGTGAGGTCATCAGAGAGCCTGGGTTAGACCAACCCACTGCGTGTGTGGGGCAGAATGCTCTCTTGAGAGGAGGTGCCGGGAACTACAGGGCATGGGACTACAGGGAATTCGTTAGACACAACAGTGGGTTCACCACACCCAATGTGATGGGGACCACACAAGTGCAATGAAGAGGCTCACTTCATTCTGTCCACATGAAGGGACTGGCCAGGTTACCCATCTGACTGGGTCAGTGACAGCCTATGTCCCATTCCTGTTGCAATAAACACCGGGGGCGCTACGTCCTCAGCACAGAAGCAGAAGCACATGCAGTAACTCCCAAGGGAGATGATGGGAGCTAAGTGCCTTATCAACCGCTACAGAGGGAAGGACAAGCACACAGGGCAGGGAGGGAAGCTCCGCAGGATCCCTTCCATCCCCTGGGCTCCCCGGCTGCTAGGCACCAGAGCCAAGTGCTGGAGCAGCCACAGCAGCATCAACCCTCTCAGGATTTTACCTAAGGGCTGAAAACATGCTGTTTCCACCACAATGCTGCTCCTCTCTTAGGGCTGACCTCAAACCCACACCTAAACTTATCAGGTTGTTTCTAACCTAGCAGCATAAACCAGTAAGACAGCTTGTTACCTGGTGTGTACAACAAGACATCAATGGCTTGTGGGCCAGTCTCCCCCGCTGAAGGGTTGATTTTGTGTTTCAGCGTCTCTGCAGTCGTCTTGGGGACAGCCATGGGCACTGAAATACAAGCCCCAAGCGTTAGTTCCCCAGAAATAAGACAGCGATGCTACAGATAGCCTCACACACACTACTCCCTTCAGATCGAGAGTTCTGGGGTAAAACTGCACAGGAAGTTACCTGAACGTGGTCTCCTCTGTTGTGTAAAGCAGTGGCCAGGAGGCCAGGCCTGTATGGAATACCACCACCATTCCATCAGCTTGGAGGCCACTTACCCGGTCTCTAGCCACACCCACCCACTATATACTGCCAAAGAGAGAAGGTTTAAACCTTCCTCAACAGCAAAATGTACCCAGAAGAAAGGGACCAAGGAACGAACTCAAGAACGGTGACACTTGCTGCTATGGGGCTGTCCTGTATCCCCCACACCCCATGGGGTTGACAGCATCCCGGGTCACTCCCCAGATGGCAGGCCAGCCCTACACATACACAAGTCCACTCCAAACATCTCCCCAGGGACGAGGTACAAACCACCCCCACTAGAACCACTGTCCAGGAGGGCCCTCTCCCACTTATCCTTCTGCTACACAAATCACTGAGTTTCCTGATGGAGCCTATGACTGCCTCTGTGGGACTCCTGGGACGACCCTCTCGATGGGGGCCCCACCTGCTGGCTTCCTGGGAGACCTTACCAGCCTCCCTCACCCACCAGACACTGAGTCACCGCAGTCTTGGGTGGGGCACTGTGCAGGCACTCACCAACTGCTTCTCTCCCCTCTTTTCTTTGACACAGAGTTTCACCAAACCACAAAATTGCCCAGACTAGGTTCTAACTCACATTCTCCTGCTTCAGCCTCCCAGAGGGCTAGGATTACAGGCACGTGCCACCTCTGCCAGCTTCCTCCCTCACTGTATTACTCCTCTGTTTGAGACCACTACAAAGTGGCTCTGAGCTGGATTTAATATTAACCAATTGGCTTTCCATATTTATTTGCGAGTTCTCTGAAGCTTAGGCACCTTGTCTGAAGATAGGCAGTGGACTCATAGTAAGTAAACCCCTGTGAGTCCCTGGTCACCCTGAGGCCCATATTGGCCTGTGAAGCTGTGATACCTCTAAGGAGAAGATAAGGCCACAGGTGAGGACGTTTGGTTCCAATCCCAACTAACTACAAGGAGACTGCAGCTGCAGGCTCCACACTCCTACAATAAATACCAACCTAAAGATAAGGTATTTCTCTTGACTGACATAATTTACTACTTGGGAAAATTCTCCCAAGGTCCTGTGAGATTCCTGTGTTTTGAGTATCCTTCTCCTTTGTTTGAAAACCAAATAAATACAGGCTGCCCAGAAAAGTCTTTGTCTAAACTAAAGAGAATATCGAAGCTGTAAGAGAGTTAGTCCCTCCTGGAGCCCTGAAGTCATTGCCACTGTCTCATTTATTTAAGCCTTCGCTGTGCACTCACTTGGGAGATTGCGGGCCTGATCAGCCTGCAATAACTAAGGGTTACTGAACCCAATACTCTTCATTACAATCTGATGAAGTCCATACTATTATCACCGCGGAAAAAAAAGGATGGAAACCTGAAATGTGCAGACATTAGTTGAACTACTGGAGATCACAAGATCAGCAGGTAGTCAGCCGGTACCCTAACCTGGGCTGACAGCTCTTGCCTCCTTGCCTGTTCCCCTGAGTTATCATTATGTTCCCCTGAGTTATCATCATCCTTTGGATATTCTCAGACCCCTCATTGTGAATTCACCACAAGCTACGAAGTTGAGCTCAGGACCACGCACCTTTACCTCATGAATCTCTACATACTCAAAAATATTTCTTGATTTGCTAAGAAGGGGTCAGGAATTCAGCCACATTTTGTGACCTGAGCTTAGTTGGTCCCTCCTTTGCCACAGGAAGCAAGGCGGACAATAACTGAGAGTGAGCTGTCTGTGCCAGGTGTTGCCATGGTGGCCCTGTAAACCGCTAGGAGGCTGTTCCATAAACTTCTGGCAAAGACTTTGGGCAAAGATCAGGCGTAAGTTTGGAGCTATATAAAGCACCTAAGTATAGTGTTTATTTGATTTTGTTCCTAAGGAAAAAAGAGAGCGAACGCTGTCTGGTTGTAAGGCAAAGTGCCTTCCAGCCAACCAGCAGGTTGTATGGTAACACACAAGGCTCCTTAGTGTCCCCTGCACCATGTGAGAGGGGTTGATAACCAGAAAGCATCAGGGATCCCTCAGTCAGTAGCAGATGTCACAAAGAGGGAAAACTAGGTCAAAGTAAAGAAACATAACTGGGGTTCATTTTTCCCAATTTTGAGAAAGCGTTTTTAAAAAACCGGCACCACCAGCTATCTATCCCTGAGAAACAAAAACAAATGTCCTCACGCAAACTTGTACATGAGTGTTCACAGCAGTATCCTTCACAATAGACAAAAAGTAGACACAACTCAACTGTTCATTAACTGATGAATGGATACAGAAAATGTACTACGTCCAAACAATGGAATATTATTCGGCCATCGAAAGGGGTGAAATACTGACACTGGCTGCAATGTGGATGAACTACGGAAACCCTCCACTGCATGAAAGAAGCCAGTGACAAAAGGAAAAATATTGTCTGATTCCATGTATATGAAAAGCCCGAAAGAGACAAATCTGTAGCGACCCAAAGCAAGTCAGTGACTGCTCCTGGGAGGGGAGGTAGATACAAAAAGGGTGGCAAAAACGTCTAAAATCTGCAATGGCAACGGTCTCACGACTCTGTATATTCTAGAAACCACTAAGCTGTATACTTTCAATAAGTTATATATCAATAAAGCCGTTACTAAAAAAAATCCAACAAAACACACACAATCAAAATTAGATGTCCTTTGTAAGACATCCCTATTTTGTTAATCTGTTTCATAAACCAATTTTATATTGTTTAATGCCTTAGTAGTAACAAGTCATCCTCAATGTAATTTCTACTTTTTTGTGAAGATCACAAGACAGCTGCTTGTAAGAGATCATTTAAAATGGAAACAAAATAGAAGCGGCTAAAATGATGTGTTAAGGCCCTTTTCACCTCTTTGCTCCTAGATTGAAAATCATCATAAAAAACATACCTAAGCCTATCACCCATCTGTGTATGGCTTCCAGAAAGTGATGGCCAGATAGAAATGCACAGGGAAAAGATTGGAGAATTCCTGTCTAGGGAAACTGACCAAATCAAGTTTTTTAAAAAATATATACTGACATTCACCATCCTCCTAACCCCATGCAGTGGTAAAGTCCACCAGTGCACAAGCTGACCATGCACAGGGACCACAGCTTCCAGTGGGCATGTTCTTGACTACAAGATCAACGTACCACTCAGAGTCCACGACCCACTTAGTAACCCTGCACAGACTTCTAGCCTGCTTGCACCAGCCAGAGGACATTCTGTCATCTGCAACTGAATCACAACAAGCCCCTTCCAATGTGAAATCTCTTATCAATGTTCCCCAGATGGACAAATTACAAGATGCCTCAACATGTCCTGATGTTCAAGGAGCTGTGAGGCCCATTATTAGTGAAAGAAGGGAAGCACAGATCCCTGCGTGGGACACAGAAATAAATTAGAAGGTATAAGAGAAAAGCAAGATGGAGGGGGGGAAGAGGGAAAGGAGAAGACAGGGATGGAAAAAGTAATTATGTTGTGTTATACACATGTACCAACTCCCCATTAGGAATGTAAAATTATGAATTGCAAATATGTACTAATCAAGAAACTTCTAAAGAGAGAAGTCTAAGCAAGGGAGTCTCGTCCGTTCTAGTGGACAAAGCAAACATCAAGCAGATAGAATCACTTAAAAGAGATCTCAAGAAGCTGCTGTGTGAAATTGGAGCTTGTCTTACTTTCATTCTTCATCTTATCAAAGTAAGACAACTTGGAAGCAGCATAGATGGCCCCTGGGGACTGCAGTGTGCCCACCACAGCGTCCATCAGTAAGACATTGGTTAGCGCCTGCTGGACGTACTGCGGGTCCTACAAGAGAAACAGGTACATGTCAATACACGGGACTCACAAAGGTCACTTCACTGGGCGACCTCGTTGCCTCACAGGAAACAGGACTTCTAAAAGTACATTTTCTTACAGCAACGAGAAGAGTTCGAATGAATGATGGATTTGGAGTTTGTGTCACCACTTTTTCTCCTTAGTTAAGGCTGATACTGATGCTTTACCTCAGGGGCCGGCCAACTTTCTCTGCAAAGGGCCAGGCAGCCAACATTCCAGACCTCAGGGGCCACGACACTGCTGCTGCCACCACTCAGCTCAGCTCTGCCAGCAGCACCAAGCAGCCACAGACCCTTTGCAACATGCAGGCCTGGGCTCGGCAAAACTTGTTATGCAAAACAGTCCACCGGCCCACAGGCTTTAGTTGACCATGCTGGTTTATGCTAAATATGTAGTGCAAAGGGCGTAAAACCAAGAGCTAGTTCAAAAATCACACAATATTAGAATCTGAGAAAGACCTTGTCCCCCCCCGTCCAGTGACTGGGAAGTCCTTGCCACTCAACATTCTGTTTTTTCCAGTGTTAGCCCCCCACGGTGGGGGCCAGCCCAGCCTGCACTTCTCCAGAGACCAGCGGGGCTACAGTAGTTCTATGCTTCTATGAACTGTTCCTTTTGTGCATCCCTGCTTGTGGCCCTACCCTGTTTGTTAGGAGGTTTCCTGTCACGGCTTTCCAGTTACACAACATGAATAGCTTTCCCCATGCTCTTCCCCGTGCCGGCCACCTTCATCACCACGAACAGTGAACTCATCACTCGGGGTAATCAAAGCCACCAGTTTGGCCCAAAAGAAGGCATGAAAATATAAAGCTCCCTAGCATGTACACTTAAGCCTACAGAAGAAATCCAATAGCTCCCCTTGCAAATCCTAATCTGGCGATGCTGGAGGGTGAAATTCCTCAGAGCAGTGTGTGCCCAAAACACCCAACTAAGACCCAGCACAGCGGACAAGGTCAGCACTGCCCAGGCCCAGTCCCCATCCCATGGAACATCACCAAAGTGGAGGGGACAAGGTCCTCCTGATCAGCCCACCCCTGTTGGCTCCTATGTTTCCTCCCACGGCGCCGCCGCATGCCACTAGACCTCTGGTTGGCTCACAGAACATTCCAGAGAACCAGACCTCACCCCTGGGCCCTGACAGCAGGGAACTTGCCTGACACCCAAGTTGGTCACAGGATGCAGGGATGACTGACCTTGTGGTCATCGGCCAGCTTCTTCCCAGCCCACATCTCTTTCACCATCAGGTGCCAGAGGTCACACTCGGATTTCAGGTTAGCCTCGAAGACATCCTTCTTGGACATCATTTTTATCTTCAAGGTGGGTATTCTCAGGAGGAGAAAAGCAACCGTGGTGCTTCTGACTTCCTGCACAGGCAGAAACAGCAGTTACATCAGACAGAGCAAGCACTCAAAGGGTGCTGGGTCACAGGAGACAGGGCACAGCCCATCCTGAAGAGGACCCCCACTAAAGGAAGAAAAGACAAGAAAAAAGATGTAAGATACAGGGGCTCCTGGTAGTCACGGAGACAGGGTGCAGCACACCCTAAAATACAAGACCCGTGTACTTCTCCTATGCTGGAAGGTCACTGCCTGGCTTCTCGCCACTCTGTCCCCTCACGGTGCACTGCATGATGGACAAGCACCCAAACTCAGTATTTAAACCATGCCCCATCCTCATGGCCATCCTGACACTTTACAGGTACACAGACTAAGCCATGGGATGGCAAGCGTCTGTGCGGGTGGCCCTGCTGGAAAAGCGTGTGGCTGTCCTCACTCGTCCAGAGCAGAGCTGACTCCAGCCCGGCAGGCAGGCTCCCAGACCTCACCTCTATGTTCCTAAAGGTAGAGATCTCCACATAGCCTGGCCTCCCCTCAGTCAGCAGGAACAGGCGCTTCTGGGTCAGGGCGATCTTCCCGACACCACGGTTGGTCTTGACAGAGCTTGACAGTTTGTAGACACATTCATTTTTATCCAGATGCTCCACCACCAGGGACGGCAGACTGACCTCCTGGGCCTGGGCTTCTGTCTCCTTCCAGCAGTTGTAGAAATCTCTGAATGTTTCTGGGTCGATCAGCTTCTGCTGTCCTGAATTTCATATAAAGAAAAGAGATTTCTTACAGCTGAGGGAGACAGGACTTTGCATCACCTTCAGAAACAGTGTGTTACCCAAACCAGGCACCAGGTGGCACCAGGATTTAGGCCTTTCTGGATTGGGACCTTCTCTGAGGGCATCCCCAGGAACCAGCAGCCCAAGGTGTCCAGGTGGGGCTCATGACCTGGCCGCAGGCCACCTGCCTTTCTAGCTAACAGGAGAGGGATGTGTGCTCCACTGAAGGTGGTCACAGCAACTCTCAGAGCTCTGGGTGGGAATACTGAGACCAAGACAGTCTTTTTTTTAATCAGGAATTGAACTCAGGGCCAGGTGCTTGTGCCACTGAGCTATGTCCCCAGCCCTCAAGACACACTCTTATGGTGTACAAGCATTTTCACTACTAGAACTGGAGACCCGCATCCAGGGACATTAGGGGATCTAGTCCTGAAATGAAGCTAATGCTGAAGACAAATCCTTGGGGACACTCTTACACCACTTGCCTGAAACTAGCCCTACCTTGGTGTACCTCAGTTGTAAGCAAATAAAGTGTTTGCTTTTAGCCAAGGATGCAATAATCTGCCCAAAAGTCCACTCTTCCCTAGAGTCTGAGACCCATGGCTGAAGCCCACCTTCACCTCTGTTCAGTACCAAGAAAACCTGCTTCTGTATCCCTAGAAGGAAGACGGGACACCCCTCCCCTCACCCGCAGCCCACTAAGTCCCGGATGTTTCCCTGCCTCTGCACCTGTCCAGGCTTGGTCTTGCCTCCACTACATCTCCAGGACCTGTCACACCTCTGTCCCCTGACATGTGTCCGGCCCCTCTATCCTGAACAGGGAGATGCTTAATGTTCTCACCCTCAAACATCTCCCACCTTCCAGTACCCAGAATGGCTTTTCCAACATGCCTCATTCAGACATTCCAGGACTGCACATCTATACCAGCACCACATCCTCCGGGAGCAGGTCCCTCCTCCTCTTTACACTCCATTTTGAGATATACCAAGTATGCCCCCAAACAGGCCATATCGTTACCTATCTCTGCCTATGTTCATCCTGACTGCTCAGACCAGAAAACTACTGACCGCTCAACACCCAGGTGAATCCCCAGGTACGGCCTTCCCTGACGAGGTAGGCATCCTGCTGGGTGACTGCTAAACTGTGCACACAATGTCCCCTGTGGCACCACCACACTCAACCAGTGTACCAAGGACTGTGCACCATGCTCTACTGAGGATCCCACAAACTCATCACCACCATCCAAGACAAGCATGACCATCAGACTCCTGCACAGACTGGGGACCTGAAGCACAGGGAAGAAAGCCCCTCGCCCACAGAGCTGGGCCCCGAGGCCACAGCCAGACTCTGGCCAGGCTGAGCTGCCACCTGTGTTGGTGGGTCTGCCCTCCCTGCTGGTCCTGCCCTGGGCTGGTCTTCCTGTCCCTAGCCTAGCTAGAGGCCTGGATCTGAGATGGCGAAAGTCCCAGCTGGGCCATGTTCCCCCTCTGATAACATAACAAGGTACAGTATATGGTGGTACACATCTGTAACCCCAGCTATTCAGGAGATTGACACAGGAGGACCTCAAATTCAAGGTCAGTGTAGGCAACTTAGACCTTGTCTCAAAATAAAAACTGAAAAGGGCTGAGAGCGTGGCTAGGTGGTAAAGCTCTTGTCCAGCATGTGCAAGGCCCTAGGCTTGATCATAAGGCCAGAAACAAAAATGGGTAGGTAAATGAATAAATAAAACAACAAGCTGTCTGTGGTGACGGTTATCTGTGGGGCATTTCACTGCCATCATGGGCTTGGGACTGTCACTGTCACAGCAGTCTATGAGGGAAGAGCCACGTGCAGGGGTGGGCGCTGCAACAGGCTGACAAGGGAACTTCCTTGACTTTTACATCTTGCTTCCAAACAACGGCAGCTGAGAGTGCAGAATGGGGGTGAACAGGAAGGTCCAACAGGCCACCAAACCACGTGCAGACTCTCCGCCAGGTGGCGCCACTTTGAGTTACAATAGTTCCTTCTGTTTCTGTTTTACGCGGTTTATATTGCTTGAGTATACTCACTATTTTAAAAAGTGTCAAAGTCACTGAATCCAAACAGAAAGGCCTCTCAGCCCTAAGGGTATCTGCACACCTGTGTAACGTAAGCAAAAGCAGTCACTGAAGACGACCAAGAGCAGGGTGCCGGGTGCACCCTGAGGGTCTCTGTAGTCCCCTGCACTGGACAGTGAAGTCTGCAAGGTTACCAAGGGCATGAGGGTCATTCCTTGACTCCATAAAATGGTTGGTGCACACAGCTCCTGGCCACCAACACAAGTGGCACCCCCCTTTGGAGTTTAGACACCCTGCCCTCTGCATCGCCTTTGGCTGGACTCAGTTTGCACATCCCAAAGGGTGTGAGGGACTGAGTCTGTGTCATCTTCCTCAGACATCACTGAAGACAAGCTTTAAGTTGCTGAGCAAGAAGATGCCCAAGAAACCAGGGAACAAGAAAGAACTCAGATAGTAGGTGAAGCCACTGCGCATGACAGTGAGAGCTGAGCTCAGCCAGGAGCGGGAGACAAGGGTCCTGCAGTACGGCTCTTGGGACAGATCCTCTCAGCACCCAGGCCACGCAGAATACAGCATGTCACCAGAACTCAAAGTGGCATCTTGCGCCAAACAGATGTCTACCAGGGCTTGACATGAGGAGCTCACAACTCTCAACACCAGACAGCCCCACCAGGGCAGAAGCTCTGAGACCAAGGACACCGTACTGGGTGAGGAAACGCTCACTGCAACCACTGTCAGAGCTCTAGCACCCACGGCTGTCACATCGCCTGGGAACCAGCAGCACTGGGTGCTTGTACACATGGCCACAGTGCCCACCACTACTGTGAACACCTGCAGCACGGCAGCTCACACCCACAGCCTCTGTGCACATACAGACACCACGCACACCCTTGGGCACTGTGCCACAAGAGACAGAGTGCGCCCCCACAGTCTTTGTGCACACCCGTGGGCAAAGCACAGAGACACCATGGCACCATCCAACCTCTAGCAACTATCAGGTGCACAGCTGCGGTACATGCCCGTGGAGACAGAATGCCCAGCCCCGTGTCTCCTCTATCCTGCTGCCCACTCGCCTCCAGTGCACCCTCCAGCTCATCCCAGCAGCACACAGGCGACATCCCTCTCAGAGCTGGCCACAGACACCCTGCTCCACACAGTCATGTGAAGGTGGCACATGCAGCAGCCCACAGAGAACCAGGTCCTCAGAGCCGTGGTATGGAAATACTGATGCAAACTATTAACTTTCACTATTAATTATATCGATCAACTAACTTACATATTAATTCCTGTATTTGCATGTTGACCATAAAAATGTATAATGATGACATTATCATAATTTCTTTATAAAATCTCAGATGTATTCTTACATCGCATAAATGTATTCTAAAATGGTAACATCCAGCTCTGACAGAGGGTTGATCTTTTCAGCATGCAGCCATCTGGCTCAAATAAACACATGGTGACTCCAGGCTCCTGGGCCCTAGGGCCAAGAGCATTTCCCAACCTAATCTGCAACACTGATGAGGCCAAAGGGTCCACAGCACCAGAAGCGGCCACTGAAGGCTCTTAGTCATTGCTAGGTCGGCCAGTTCCCTCCTAAATACCCTCGCCTTAGGGTTAGGGTTAGGGTTAGGGCTAGGGTTAGGGTTAGGGTGAGGGTTAGGGTTAGCGTTAGGGTTAGGGTTAGGGTTAGGGTTAGGGTTAGGGTTAGGGTTAGGGTTAGGGTTAAGGTTAGGGCCAGCTGTGACTGTTAGGCCACACACCAGCTTTGCGCTCCCTCCAGGGCTCCCTTGTGGCTGAGTGACCATGTGACATGACACTGCCCAATAGGGGGAAGAGGAGGAAATGCCTAAGAGACAGACAGGCTCTTCTTGTCCTGGTAGATTCATCAGTTATCTTGTGACCATGGCTGATGAGGCTGGCGCTCAAAAGTTGAGGAGATGGTGGGGTCTGGTCCCTGATGACTCGGAGGACCACCGGCATGCTCATGTCCTGGCAGGATAGGACAATCGGCCCAGGGTGCCTCGGTCGCTATATATCAGGCATTCACACAGCTAAATCATGGTGCCTTCATGTTCCCATGTGACCACACAGGGAAGGCAGCAGGCCTTCTCCTGAACATCCAGGGCCACACAGGCAGCCAAGCTCTGCTCAGGTTCCTTGCATACAACAGTGGAGGATTTGCACGTGACCCACACACAGCCTCTGGTACCCTGCAGGTATCTCTAGGTGACTTCAATATCTGCTAGAGTAGATGCCATGTAAACCACTGTACTGGTTAGGGAATAACAACAGGAAAACATCTGTGCATGTTCAGTACAGACACAGTTCTCTGAATATTTCGGTCCACAGTAGGATGACATGGATTAGAAGCCCTGAGAGATGGGGCTTGACTGGGGCCACAGCATCAGGCTGACTGGCTGGGTCCAGCAGATGTGTGACCTGGGCTGTCCCAAGAGCTGCACAGACAAGGATCGACACGATCTCGCTCTGCAGTGTCAGCTCAGTACCAAACAGAGACACTCACGTCAGCCTGGGCTTTGGGTATAAACCTGAGAGGAACTGCCCACACGTGCACTGGGGACAGGAAGGGCCACTCAGTATCACGGGGGAAGGTGAAGCCCCTGAGACCTCCCCACGGCCACAGGATGAAACAAGCTGTACCTCTCACATGGCAACACCGCCAGCACCCAGAGGACAAGCCAGATCTGTGCCGTAAATGCAGGGAGTTCTGCAACACTCTGGGAATAAGACGGCTACGCACAGGTACAGACGCCATGACACTGTGCAAACATGAAGGCTGTGCCCAGGCTTGAGCGCATTCTCCAGTAGCCAGAAAGGAAAGCTCATGCTGGAGACAGCAGCTCCCTTGGAGAAGAAGGTACACGGGCCCACCTGGGCCTAGGAAACAGGTCCCTGCAGCAGGCATGGGAAGCTAGGCCTTTCCAAAGTTGGTGTCTATCTGTGATCTCTGTGATTCCATGGCTGTGAAGCTTTCCACGGCTCTCTGGATGAGGCCATCGGTAGGGTGAGGACAATATCTGGAGGTTCTGTCTCCCCATGTCCCATCACAGGCCCTGGACCCCTCTTCCCAGCAGGAGCCCAGCCCAGAAGCCCAGCCAGGGCGAGTTTGAGATGGAGCATTAGAAGACTGCTGACGGGCCCGTCACCCCACCATTCCTGGGCTATGCTCAGAATGCCAGCAAAGGTTGTCACCCTCACCCAGTACCTGTCAGTGCTTGGCCTGCTACTATCAGTCTTTTGGCAACCACTGCTGTCCATTGGTATTTGGGCATAGAGTCAGGTTTCAGAACCTCTGCAGATACCAAAATCCGCAGATATTCAAGCTTTTTAATAAAATTATATAGTATTTGCATAGAACCTGTGCATATCCTCCCATATACTTCAAGTCACCTCTAAAACACTTATATTAACCAGTACAAGCCAGGCATGGTGGTGCATGCCTGTGATCCCAGCTACCTGGGAGGCTGAGGCAGGACAATTAAAAGTTTGAGCCCCACTGGGACAATTATCAATTTAGCAAACCCTGTCTCAAAAAAAAATTTTTTTTTTTTGGTACCAGGAATCAAACTCAGGACCTCCTGCTTGCCAGGCAGGTGCTTGTGCCGCTGAGCTATATTCCTTGCCCTCAAAATTTTTTTTAAAAGGCTGGGGACATAGCTCACTGAGGAGGCCCTTGGTTTAATTCCCAGTACAGGAAGCACACACACATACAAATACGATGTAGACATTAAAAACCACAACAACAACAGTGAGTTTTCCTCACTCTGCACTGGGTTGAATCTGTGGATACAGGGCTTGTGGGTACAGGCACAGCTGTGTTTAAACAGGACGCTGTTGCATGTGGCTTCTTACCTACAGTCAGCGCATCGAACAGCCGGTGTATGATGTTGGTGTCCTTCACGATCCCTGATTCCTGGACCCTCTTCACGAAGTCTTCCAGCTGCATGTGCTTCTTGGGCAGCTCAAAGTGCTTCACAGCATCGTCTGCCTTGGTGGCCTCACCCGGCTTGTCCAGGACCTCAGCGATGAGTCTCCTCAGCTCAGGTGTCTTCTCAGCCTGGCTGCGCTCAGAGGCCGACATAGATTCCACAGTGCCCTTGACAAGGTCAGTAGGAAAAATCCGGATGTCTGTCTTGTAGAGGTTCTGGAAATCTGAGAGGGCACTCAGCAGCTGCCCCTGCATCAGGTGGACAAGGCCACGCAGGTAGAAGTACCTGGCCAGGAGCAGGGAGTTGTCAGGACCCAAGAGGTTCATGGCCTTGCTCAGCAAGGTGACAAAGTTGGCATGGTATGTCTGTATGCACTGGCTCATCAGCGGGAAGTGGATTTCAGGAATCTTGAACATATAGGTGGACTTAGGGGCCACATTCAGAACTAAACAAATTAAGGGGAAATAAGCCAATAATTAGCACAGACCTTCAAAATGGACATGTGTGCCTATCCCAGGAACACATGGGGCCAGGACACAGTGTAAACTAAGAACCAGTGCGTCCCTTCCAGAAAGCTCTGTGTACCCAGAGCCCCTCATTTTGTACCCTGAGACTAACAACACCTGGTACTCCTTGAACAATTTTGTTTGCTAAAACTTAATCCTACATTGAAACACTGGTGCTGGGGTTCTGAGGACTAAATTCATACTATAAGTCAAGGTGTACTTGCCTGGAAGTGAAGCCTTTTAAAATGATGGTTTTGTGCTCCCTTTGGCAGCACATATAGAATAACTGTTGCATTACCTTACCAGCTCTGGGAGGTCTCGTGGTGCTGCCCATCTGGCAGACATGGAAAGTGAGGCCTCCACAGCCTAGGTTATCTGTTCCAGCTACTGAATGCCACAGCCCAATTTAAACCAGGGGTGTCCCTCCTGCCAAATGTGACCAAGGGGCTCCAGGGGCTAAGTACCGCCCAGTCCCCCAGAGAAAGCAGAAGGCAACCCGGCTACCCACAAAGCCAGTTCCACTCGTGAGAGATGAGTGGGGTGGTCTTGGCCAGGATCTGGAGAAGGGGGCGGGGCCAGACCATATGGTTGTCGGGTACAGGCAGAGAAAGCAGTGTGTGCCCAGAGCAGGCAGGCACACAGTATCTGCTCAGTGCAGAAGATGAACTGCAGACCCAGAGCGGCAAAGAGCTTTGCTCAGAGTCACACAGCCAGGAGTGGCTACGCAAAAGATTCAGATCCAGCAGTCAGCCTTCTGACACCTGCTCTGAGCTCTGAGTCTCGGTGGTGAGCGTGTCAAATTCTTGTTTATATTCACTGGCCCTCTGGGAGCACGGCATGTGCTGCTCACGCAGCTCCCTAGCTTCTGGTACCTTCTTCTCCAGGCAATATTCAGTACATGCTGCTCAGCTAGACAGTGGCTACCAAGGGCCTACCTGTGCCAGTCATGGTGACAGCCACTCCCACCTGCAGTAGACAGGCCAGGCCTCCCCAGACCACTGTGCTGCATGCAGCTCAGCCTCTCTGCACACCCGACTCTGCCAAAACGGTCACTTCCACAGCCATGCCCCTGGCTCTGCTTCGGCCCCCAGTGGGACCCTGAGCCTCCGCCCTGGGATGGCCAGCTGCAGGCAGCCAGGCACAGGGCTCCTCTGTACCCCGGCCTCTAGACAGTACCTACCTGGCACTCAGCAGGGCCCAACAGCTGCTGCATCACACTGCACATTAGACATGTAAACATGTATTTTACACAAACACGAAAACTGTACAGCTGTTACCCTCAGCACTGACCCTAGGTGATGAGGAATACTTTCTTATATGTTCTAAACATATTTCAAATAATTGAGCTGTTAAACAATAAAACAGATCCTCTCCCTGCCCCGGAAACAAGCTGTGGTCCCCCAGTGGCTTGTCACAGCAGAGCCCAGCAAGTGCAGGAGGCACAGCTTGCTCACCTGGGCTGCTGTTCCTGCATCCTGTGGTGTCCATGATGCGAAGCGAGAAGTTCCTGGCTGGCAGCTCGGGCAGGGTGATGTCCTGCAGGCTGGGCATACTGACCACCATGCGCCTGTGGGTGATGTTCAGAGGCGAGGACTTCCTTGAAGCCATCTTCTCCACCGTTGGCCTTCTAGGGCTTACAAGCATCCCACTGATTCTGGGGTTGATCAAAGAAGTGCCTTACTTTACAGAAGCAATAATGCTTGGGGAGTAACCATCCACGTGGCGTCGTTTCCAGAGCAGGTAGTAGTATGGGGCAGCCCTGTCCACAATCACTCACAACCTGGTGCCTAAATCCCGCCTAGTACTGCAGGGAGATGACACATCAGTGGCCCAGGATGGCCCAGAGTCCAAGAAACAGACAGAGTATCATGCAGGTTTTATGCATGTTCTGGAGGTCAGGAAAAACCTCAGGAAGGGAGAAAGAATGGAGCAGATCTGAGGGTGAAAAACACATGTGGACAGAGGCCGGGGCACAGCACAGACACATTAATGCTGGGAATACTCAGGCACTCCCTGAAGAACAGATACATGGAGAGGGGCCTGTTTGTTACCAACTTGTAGCAAATTTCTAAATGCCAGGGTTTTCCTGTTCAAACTATCACTTTTCTGCCCAAATAAAACCATGCCGCTGGGCCAGGGATATAGCTCAGCAGCACAGTGCCTGCTGAGTCCTGAGTTCGATTCTCAGTAACAAACAAAACAAAACCATGCCACTGCAGCATTTTAGTCACCAGAGTTATATGCAAAAACCAAGGAAGAGCACCTGTCCTCCTCTGACTGGGTGTCCAGGTCCATCTGTGCATAGGCGTCCATCCTGCGGCTGAGCCGGGCTTTCAGGAAAGAGTGGAACATGTAGGTGTCCAAAACCTGCAGGAGACAACAAGAGGACATCATCCAGGCCTCAGGGTTCTCTCCTCTCCCTGCTAAAGGTCACAGACAGGATCCCATTGGCACCAGCTTTTCAGCAAGAGGTTCCTAGAAACAGCTTCTGAATTTAGTTGTAACCTACCAGGAGCACCCCCCAGTTCTTCACCTGCTGATCTGAGATAAGTAGCCACTGCATGTTTGAAGAATCACAAAATGTTCAAAAGCCTAAACCACCTAGCCACTTCGACAGCTATGCCTGTAAGTGTTTATGGCCAACTGACTCCAGACCTCTGATCGTCCCCTACAGCCCCACACCACAGCATAGTCTGCCTCCGTTCACTGCATCAGATACTCCTGCTGGGCTCTGGTACTCAAGGCCTTCGGGGTCCTCACTACAAAAGTGAGGGTCTAACGCTGGGGTCTTTGTTTCCCCCAGACACCTTCTCTCCATTGACCACGGTATGTGGACAAGTCAACCCAGGCAAGGAAGGGAGGGACAGGGTGCCCAGGAGGTCCAGAGAGGGACAAGTGGATCCCAACATGCAGAATGGGGCGGAAGAGTGCTGAGCAGAAGAGATCACACAGATGACATTGTGAGCCCTGTTTGGCCAGCTGGTGGGCCCACTCCAGCTAGGCCCTAGATCACCATGAGAGCCAGGAAGGTCACAGGGCACGGCACAGGGCCGAGGTCAGATCCCAGAACCAGGTCCAGACACCAAGCTTATAAAACAGGGCAAGAGCTTTGAGTTCTGAATTTCCAGTTCTTTAACTTTCCCCCATACTCCCTGAGTCCTGTGTAACAGTCATGGGGTCTGTGGGTGGCTGCACCCATCTGCACTGTGAGTTTGGGGACAGCAGGCTCCCCAGCAGCCCCCATGCTAGCATACTTGGATGGCTTGGTCTCTACCACTTCACAAAGCCACTCTGTCCTGGTGACCATGGCCACCCTCTGAGCCATGCTGTCACAATGGTGACCATTCAGTCTTCATTTGAGATCGCTGCTATGCTCTCTCCTCCTCCCTTGCTTCCATACCACCTGGCCCAGGTGTTTCTCCTGACTTCTGGCATCTTCTTGCCTCCCTTGCTGGAATCCCTCTGCCCAACCTCCTGACAGGCCCAGGACTGAGCCACTCCTTTGCCTGTTCTCTTTACTCCTCCGACACTGGCTCCAGGTGACCCCACTAGACTCATGGTGCTAAACATCACGTAGGTTCTAGGGATGCTCAAATGTGTCCCTCCTGGTCAGACCTTCCCCGGCCGGCAGAATGAGCACATCCGCCCACCCGACTACTCAGCACATTGGACCAACATATTTGAAGTGGGTCCCCAGGAGGTGCTTGGACACAGAAAGCCTGCACAGAACTAGTCAAAAAGGTCCAGGAAGTTGAAAATGGAGCAATTTCCCAAGCTCAGAGGACAGGGGCGGTTCATGCAGTCAAAAGAGAGAAGGGAGAGCCTGGGCCAGATGGGGGCCATACAGAAGCCACCAGGGTCACACATCAACAGCAGAGGGACGGACCTATACACTGCCTGGGAAAGGATGCTCTCAGCCCACCCTGGAGGTGTCAAAATGTACCCCTTAAAGACCAAGAGGTTCTGCAAGTGACATGAGCCATTAAAGCCCATGATGTCACTTTTTGTAATGGACAGAAACTGAAATCCAGCTGGGCTTGGTAGTGCATGTTATAACCTCAGGTACTCAGAGACTGCAAGTTCTCAAGACTCTGTCTCAAGATAAAAAATTAAATAAATAAAAAGGGCTAGGGATGTAATTCAGTGAAAAGCCCTGGTTCCATCCCAGTCCCACAAAAAATACTTAAAAACACCCAAATGCTCCCTAACAGGCAGAAAAACAATGTGCTCTGTCCTAACACTGGCAATTCTTTGGCATCAGCGATAGCAGCAAGCAATTGTTGAGAGAGCCCCAAGATCATTCCCAAAGGTCAAGGGACGGAACCAGAGAGCTCAGAGCTGAGATGATGCTAGCACGGGACTCTGAAAGAGCCTGACCTGTTTCCAGGGCCTGGGGAGGGAGACTGTGGCTGGGAAGAACCACAGGAAGTGCTGGGGACGATAGCAGAGTCTGATGTTTGGACTGAGGACATGTTACACAGGTAGGCACCTTTGTCACAAGTCCGTCAAATTCAACACTGAAAATAGGTGCATGCTATTATATGCAAATTACACTCTAAAAGCCAAAGAGAAAGGAATGAAAAAAAGGAATTAAGGTATAATAGGTACACGTATCAGTTCCCCACAAGGAGTGTGAACATTATCTACCTCAAATGTGTATTCATTTAAAAAAAAAGAGACAGCCAAAGGATCAAAAGGAACCATACAAAGACAAACTTCCTGGAAAATATTAACAGATCTTGCAAAAAGCTTATTCTGGAAAATATTTAAACACAGAAAAGTAGAATAGGTTGAACACAGGCAAGAACACCCAAGTCCACACTTCTCACCTGCTTGTAGAACTGCTGCTCCCCCATGGCTCTTGTTTTGAGAAATTCCTCACTGTTAAACACTCTGTGTTCATAATTCAGGTGATTTTTCACCTCCCTGACAAAGAAAAGGTAATCTAAGTATGGAATCACTTCAAGCACGTGAAAAATACTGCTTTTAGCAACAAAAGAATGAGGGCAAGTCTGTTCTTCAGCGAGATTAACCTCACCCTCAAAATGCAAGGGTCTAGGTGGATCACATGGTCAGCAAACTTTCCGCAGCTAAGTTGGACCCCTGGGAGACAGTGTCACTGGCATCTTCCTGGGGAGACCCTAGCTTTTCATGCAATTAAGCTTCAATCATCAATCACTGTCTGGGAATGACGCTGTCTGGGAATAACTACCTCAAAGTAGCCAGCTATCCACATGGCCACTGTCAGAACGACGCAAGGGCAGCACAAGGAGCAGTCGTTCTTCCCAAGTGCTGACCCCCTTTGGCCACCAGCCTGCCCTGGATAAATTTCTTCCTCCCTTACACTCTATTCCCTCAAGTGATTATAAACTCATGGGATTTCAACATATAATCTCTCAGATCTAAAGTAATCTTCAACAGGTTATACTCAATGCATGGTATGTTCAGTGTTTTCCTTCCATTGGGAGGAAAAAAAAGTATTCCACTTAGGGGACATATCATTTCATAATCTATAGTCACATTTTCTGCTTTTTAAATCAACTCAACAGTCTTCTAAAGTGTTTTTTTAAAATACAACCACCTTGATCATAAGACTTCAACTTCAAAGAACAAAAGGAAAATAATATACTCAGAACCATGCTAATTACACCGCTTTGAGCAAAAAGATAATATGACCTGTCTGAAATGCATCATCCCATTTTTTCCTAAGAAGTCATTTGCTTTATGTAAGTAAAGATGTCAAAAGAACAAGGCCATCCACATTTCAGTTTTGAAATAATCATGCTGAGTCCTGGCAAATCGGCAGGCGCTATGCTCAGCCTTCCCGAGTAGAAGGCCTTGCAGACTGGACCAGAGCTGGCAGCAAGTGCCTCCTTTGCTAAGGACTTGGGGTGAAAGCAGCAAGAAGGGGGAACGAGTGCTACAAGAGAAAGAGAAAAAAGAGTTGGAAGAAAGAAAAGGCCTAAAAATTACTCAAGTTGAAATATACTATAATTCCTTAAATGACTGCACATTTAGGCCAGAAATAGCAACTCAGTTTCTGTCCTGTATCCCATGGAGATATATACTACTAGTCTACCTAACCAATTCTAGCTGCAATGCTAGGGAAGGAATAGCAAGCAAGACACTTCTCACAATGGCAACTATGGAATGAGAAGAAAACCTTCCAGGTGGCAAACCTGCAGTCCCCCATTTGATCTGGAGGCTAATTTAGGAGCTCCACTGCCTACTTTGAGTCATACAAAAATAACCTGCCTGTCCCTTCCCCCTGGATACAGGCCTCTTGGCATAAGGTCCTCCCTGGCCTGTGCATACCTTCACTGACAAGCTCTCCAGGCAGGTCTGTGACTGTCCCTCTAGAGGCTACCTCAAAGTAGCCAGCTATCCACGTGGCCACTGTCAGGGAGAACAACTAGGAGGATGCTAGCCAGGGTCAGAGCGAAAACACCCAGCTCTCACTAAACCTGCTGATGCTGATAATGACAGGAAAAGGCTAGGCAGGGACAGGACATCTCATCCTGTTGGGATGGTCTCATTAGTCTCAACTTTGGGGCCAGCTGCCCTGAGGTGCCACAGGCTGGCTGGCTGCCTCTCCCGGATTCCATGTGTGCCCTTGAGGTACCTGAAGATGCCCACAAGCAGCTGTAGGGTGATGTGCTGGATGCAGGAGTTGAGTGTCTGCTGCCAGGCTCGTTGGCGGGCGCGGCCCTCATTCAGATCTGTGCTGGAGCTCAGGTGAGCAAGGTGTAGCTCAGGATAGAGCTGGAGGCTCTGGACCCTGGGAGAAAGCAGACAGATGAGGCTGCATCATGGAGCACAACTCTATGACAGCTCACCAGCCATGGCCACTGTTGCCCGTAGGTCGACACTTCAGGATGCTCGGAGGACCTGTCAATCACTCAAGGGATGGGCAGTCATTATGTGCCTATCGCTTGAAGAGTATTCTCCCACACACAGCACACACATTTTTGGACCATGTACAGTCATTCCAACACTGGGCACTGCCTGGATAGGGTGCCCCACCTTCTGGGATGCCTAAGGGTTTCCGCAGAGGCTGCATCTTAACCAGGCAGTGAGGGCTGCAGGGAGGAACAGTCACAGGACTCCCAAAAGCTTCCTCTTGACATTCCCCAGCACAGGTAGGGTCAGGTGCCCCCTCTGTGCCTGAACGTAATGTCCTGGGTGTCATCACCGACGGCCCACCAGGGGATGCCCACCACTGGCTCATCTGTGGGTTCTCATGTGAAACCAGGGAGTAATAGTTATATCTGCCAACTCTGAGTCACCATAATCACAAGGCCTGGCCTTCCTAATACTACCTAACACCATGCTGCGAGAGGGACTCTGGACATCACAGAAGAAATCTGTGGGGTTCTTTTGTTTGGTGTTTTGTTTTTTGTTTTTTATAGTACTGGAATCAAACCCAGGGACACTCAGCCACTGAGCTACAATCCTAGCCCTTTAAAAAATTTTTTTTTATTTTGAGGTAGAATCTTACTAAATTGCCCAGGCTGGCTTTAAACCTACAATCACTGTATATCAGCCTCCCAGGTATGTAAGATTACAGGTATGAGCTACTGCATCTGCCCAGTCTGTGGTTCTAAATAAGCAAGATAAAGACAACCAATTTGTATTTAATATTCCTTAAGCACCTACTATGTACCAGGCCTAGTTCTGGATACTGACTGAGGCAAAGCTCCTGCCTGTGTTGAGCTTACATTCAAGGGGGAAAAAATAAAAACAGATAAATTAACCACAAAATAAGAAACAGTGGGATGGGCAGCAAAAAATCTAAACAAGGGGTGCACATGGAAAAAATCAGATTGGGTGGAGATGAGTTCTCCCAGGAGATTACCTTGAACCTGAAATGTGAAAGGCAAGACATGAGTAGTAGGAGCAGGTGGGGGCAGTGCAGGAGGAGTTCCTGGTGACTAAAAGCCCTACTGTAGGCATGGCAGGCTTGCCAGGCCAGTGTAGCTCCAAGCCACAGTAAAGCGGTGAGGCAGGGGCCAAGTGGCCAGCAGGAGGCTCTGAAGCACTCCTGATGTGTTGGGAAGCTGCTGCTCAGGACATCCCTAGTGCAGGCTGGCCCAACTGATCAGCACCAAACAGGCCTGTGACCCAGCAGATTATAGGATGGACAGCATAGTAGGGAAGGACATGTGATCAACTTCCCTGCATCAAGTTTGCTGGAATCCTTGTCCTTCCTGATACAGGATCAATCAGGGGAGAAGACTTTCTACTTCCTGCACCCCCAAAATGCAGTCCTTCCCTCCCACCTACACACTAACCCAGCAGAGTTCTGTGCCAGGTGCCTGTCCCCACCCTCCAGGAAGGTCGGCAGTCATAAGGAGGCCAAGACAAATGCATACTTCTGATAAAGTGAGGACAGAAGGGCACAGAGAACAACCAGGGGCCAAGGGCCTCCCAGGGAAGCTGGGGAAGAAAGGCCACTGCCCCTCATCCCTCCTGGCCAAAAGCCCGGGTGCAGATGAACACCGCACCCAGGAGCCCGCGGGGAGACTGCACTGCAACCTGGTTCAAGGGCTCAGAGGCTTGGGTAACAGATGCATCATGGACAACACATGGGTTAGTTCATGCTTATCCCAAAGTCCCCATGATGAGCCATACAAGACACCACACTTCATGTACCCTGTTTCCAACCTGTGCACTGTGTGCATTTATATTCTGGAATCCTAGCAATGCAGATGGCAAAACAAACACCCGAGAACCTGGCAGAGATCAGTTCTAGAATGACTCTGAAAGTCAAGGGAAGCAGCTCCTGATTATCTGAAAGTAAACAGGACAAGGAGGACACAAGTTTTGCCTTCCAAGTTCACAAAGGTCCAAATTCCAAGAGAAGACCTTGCATAAATCACCTGCAGCTGCAGGAAGAGGACAGCCCTGTGCCCCTGCACCCCCACTGCAAGGGAGGACATCCCCCTTCCCTCTCCCCCACCTCTACCCCAGCACTTTTATCTGAACTGTTTCTTGGGGCCTTTGGGGGCTTTTAAGTTTATGGAGATGGAAGGAACAATAATAAGGGTGGTACGCTTATGTACGGATTGATATCTCTTATCCAAAATGCTCGCAGCTGGGCATGTAGCTCAGCGGTACAGTGCTTGCCTAGCATGCATGAGGCCCTGGGTTTGATCTACAATGCTATGAACAAACAAACAAAAAAATAGCTCAGGACCAGAAGCCCTTCAGATTTCAGATTCTGGGATATCTGCTCACACATAATGAGATATATCGTTGGGATGGAACCCAAGCCTGAACATGAAATTCACTTATGTTTCACATATTCCTTGTACACACACACACTGAGGCGATCCTATATAGCATTTCAGGGAAACTTTTAATTTTGATGCATCATGTGAGGTCAGGGCCAGAACTTCCCACTTATCTGATCATGTCAGCACTCAAATGTGTTGGACTTTGGAGCATCTCAGATTCTGAATCCTGTACTTTGCAAAAGCCATCTGGGTGGAAGGAATAAATTACACCATGGAGAGTCACATGTGAGAAAAGCACATAGAAGGAAGCCAGGACAGGCTGCCCTCTTCCTTCCTGCACCCCGAGCTTTCAGCTCTGTGGCTTCTGATCTCCCAACAAAAGACAAGGTGCAGATGACTACCCTACATACAGTTGCCCCCCAAGGTCAGCAAACACTAGTATGGCTGGGCCGTCTTCCAATAGCCTAAAAGGAACCAAGTATCGCTTCTATGACTCACATGCAAGGTCCGACAGCACTTGGACCTCCAGGCCATGAGGACAGACAAGCAGGAGCTCTCCTACTGCCCTTTTTTCAAAAACTCACAGGAAAGAGGGGCTGCACAAACAACCCCAAAAGAAGCCGGTACTGCGGCACCCAGTGGTCCTGTCCAACCCGGGCTGACAAGCCCTGGGCTACAGCCAGACATCCGAACACACGCCACAGTCTGATGACAAATGATTAGTCTCCCTCCACTGCTCTGGAGGAACATCCTGCCCAGCTTCTGCACCACAGCAGAAACCACAGGGACCCAAACCTAAAATATATTATGGTCCGTTTTGGAAGAAGTTTGCTGACACCTGATCTAGGCCAATGAAGCTCAGAAAAAGAGTAAAAGAAAGTGTAAACAGCTGCAAAACAAGGTTTGAAAAAGTAAGAGCACCGATAGATTGCCAGTGGAGAAGAGAGGAGGTCACACCCACAAGGTCCCCTGGACTGAGTATCCCAATGCAAGGCTACCACTGTTCTGTCACTACTGTATAGTCCTGCCCCATCCCAGCACTTCATGGGTATTTCATACACATCTAGTGAATGAACAAGAGATAACAGTACAGGACCCTGACGCCCAGGACCGAGGGTCAGGAAAATAGGGGGAGTGACTGTCCCCAGACTGTTAAGCCACAGATAGTTTTTAGACAAAATTAGAATACAGATAAATCCCTTCTCTTTAAAAATATTTGCAAACAATTTCTAAACTCTAAATATATACAACACCTATCAACAACATCAAATTAGAAAAAGACAAAGTAGCAAACACAGAATGTAAACAAAGATGTTCTCAAACACATACTATTTCCTGTTACCTCTGAATAAACGTCTGTGCCACCAGGAAAGGGATGTCAGGAACGTCCACGCCACTGTCTGAGAACTTAGAACAGGTGATGCTACCATGATCAATATCTATGAGAATTAAACCATCGGCTTCCTGCAAAATAAACATTGATGTAAGAATCTTTGAATTGGTACACACCTTTAAAAACACACAAATGTATTCTGCATTCCCTAGGACAGTATCATTACTTAA